GGTTTTTATGTTTGAAATTGCCATTCAGATTAAAAGTGCCAGTCAGTGGAGGTGTTTGCACTGACTCTTTGTTACAGTGAGCTTCTGTTGACTTGGGGGATTAGTCTTCTGATTTTGTACATAGGACTATCTATGGTACATTAATATGGAGGCAGCTGACAGCTGTTGGGGAATGGTGACATAAAATACAGAGTTCACAGTGATAGAAATATATAAAGCCGAAGTAAGTAGAGCCTGGAAGGCTATAGGACCTGTCAGGTGATTTTCATTATCATAGAGTCAGTGACTCAGGTGCTTATGTATTTGGTTTGCAAATTCATTCCTGTAGAATGAGAAAGGCTGGAGATCTCCAACTTCACAGGGGATCCTAAGCAACCACAGGGCTGTAGGATCCTGGATGCTCTCTGACCAGGTTGCCCACACAAATGGCTTTTGCCTCTGTTCTGCTTAGCTTTTCTGCTTCAAGGACTTATGCACAAGTTCACGTGCCTCCTTGGGGCACAGGTCCTCAGCAGGATCCTTGTGAGCCTCCCATCTAGGCAGATCTTCCTGGACAGCTGGTGTTCAGATTTCAGGTGATTTTAGCTGCCCTGCCAATGCTTTTATTTCCCATAAGGTGTGGGCACAATCTCTAATTCACTGTGCACTGCTATAACCAGGGAAGGCAAAGAAAAGCAGGATTGAATCTGATGCCCCTGGTCATGATTAATTTGCTACACAACTCTCTCCATCTTTACTAAATGCCCTGTAAAAGAAGAAATAACCATGCATTTGATTATTTCAGAGAGACAGAGACAGAGAGAAACAGGCAGAGACAGAGACTGAGAGGACAGAAATTCTTATGCCTTTGTCTCTTTCTAGCCTGGCTCATCAAATATTACAAGTAAAGACCTGAGTGTAATCACAATTGGGAAAACTGCCTTGGGTCATTTTAAATATCCAAGTGTTTGTGCCCAACATTAATGAACTGGACAAGGGCCACATAATTACTAACAGAGATAGAGACATTTCATTACAAAGCAGCACTCTGAAAAATGAGGACAGACTAGTAAGCTGCTTGCTTTTGGGTTACTACCCTGAAGCTAACTGACCAGATTCTACACATGGCTCTCTGAGACAGGAGTGATACATAGTTTGGAACTACTTGTACTGCTCTATTGGGAAACAAGAAAAGGCATGAAGTTGTATAAGCATCTTTAAAATAAAGGGATTCTTTGTAACCATAGGTGGGGAGAGCTAAGTTGACTTACTCTCCAGAAGCTCCCCAGCTACATCTTCCAAAGATAAAAATCCTGGAGAAGAGTCATAACCCCAGTGTCACAAGGCAGAGGGCATGTCCATTAGTTCTGCAGCAGCCCATGGAGAACACCTCGTTGTTTGAGATGAAATATGCAGACCCCCAGTGACTTTTCCTCCATATTCAGTGTTTACCACACAGACAGGTCCTGTCTATGTCAGCTCAGGTGGCATAAACTTGTACACATAATCCTCAAAGACATAAGGAAATGGGGAACAGAATTTAGAGTTCAAAAACTGAGATAAGGATTCTGACATGTACGTTTGTGTGCTTGTATCTGTGTGGCAATGTTCAGTCTTGACTGAAGCATTAACATACAACCTAAGATTGTAAGTACAGGTACATGTACATGCATGTACAAGAAGCCTCTGACAATACAAATAAATAGAGATGAGAGACTGTTTTAAAATAGTCAAGAAATTCTAAAGGAACAAAATATCAGACTTTCAGGAAATCAGCAAGAATGTTGTGAAATGTATTTAGCTTGGAGTTAATTGGCAATTTTGGGCCATTAACAAATCACCTACTTCCTTTATACAGAGAGAATGCTGTCAGTGATCAGGTCAAGGAGGGTCTGATTGAACTGAATTGTCACTTCACATGGAATCTGATGTTGGAAGACTTTGGCATACCTGATTTGGAAATGAGGATCTCTGAGGAGCTTGAGTTTCTAGACATCAAAAACCAAGTGGGGATGCTAAACCTCAGGGCCTATGTGAATCACCTAAAAGGCCAGCATGAGGAAGCCTTGCAGAGCTTGAAAGAAGCAGAAGCCTTGATCCAGGGAGAGCAGGTGGGCAAGAGAAGCCTGGTGACCTGGAGTAACTGTGCCTGGGTGCATTACCACATGGGCAGCCTGGCAGAAATCCAGACCTACCTGGACAAGGTAGAGAACACATGCAAGGAATTGGGCAGTCCCTTCCGCTATAGTATGGAGTGTGCCGAGATGGAATATGAGAAAGGCTGGGTCTATCTGAAGAGTGGACGAAAGAATTATATACCAGCCATGGACTGCTTTGAAAGAGCTCTGAGTGTGGATCCTGAAAACCCTTTATACAACCTTGGCTATGCAGTTGCAGCCTATCACACAGACTTTGATGACAAGAATATCTCTCTAGAACCCCTAAGGAAGGCTGTCAGTTTAAATCCAGAAGATCCGAATATTAAAGTTTATCTTGCGCTGAAGCTTCAGGATTTAGGAGAAGCAGCTGAAGCAGAAACACACATTGAAGAAGCCCTCAGTAGCACATCCTGCCAACACTATACATTTCGATCTATAGCCAAGTATTACCGAAGGAAAGGCTACATATCCAAGGCTTTCCCTCTGCTACATAGGGCCTTGCAGGTGTCACCTTCCTCTGGCTACCTGCATTACCAACTAGGGCTCTGCTACCATAGACAAGTGATGCAACTGAGAACATCCACCGATAAGGCGGCCCAAAGGCAGGCGGCACAACAGGCCGTTCTTGAATTTCAAGAGATTGTGAAACTCAGACCCAGATTTGAGATGGCTTATGTTTGCATGGCTGAAGTTCAGGCAGAAACTGGCCAACATGAAGAAGCAGAGGCAAATTTCCAGAAGGCGCTGAACATGAAGGAACTGTACAGGAATCTTGAGTGTCACAAAGAGCAGGATATTCATTTACGCTATGGCCGTTACCAACACTTTCATCGGAAATCAGAGGATGAGGCGATCACCCACTACTTAATAGGTCTTAAACTGAACAAAAAAAACTTTGTCTGGAGGAATATACTTGGAAGGTTAGAGAGAATGGTCACAAGACGTGCTCGCCTGCATGTTCGAATTGTGGAGAGCTATTGCTTGCTGGGCTTCATCCACAAACTGAAGGGGGACAAGGAATCGGCCCTGCACTACTATGAATTGGCTCTGCAGCTCACAAGGGAAGTGAACCGTCAGTTTTGAGTGCAGCTCCCATCTGGGAAGTGAATGTACTCATAACTGAGGGTTCCCGACCTCCTTTCCAGTTTCTTTCTCCATCCTCTTTGTCACCCCTCATTGTGGTGTCTATTAAGAATTTGCACCTGCTCACTTACTGACCAGGACTGGCCCCTGCTGATCTGCATTCCCTTGAGCTGTGGGGATCCTAGGACTTCTTTTCCTTATGTCTGTGTCTTGGGAATGTAATTCTTCCATCACGACCTGCCAGTGTCCTGGACAAAGAGGTCTTCTCCAAGGAATCTTTTACTTTAGGTCAGCAGATACTCTTAGTACATTGCAGTTTCAGAGGAAACCAAGTGAGCAAAAGGGGAGTTTGAAAGATGAGGGGTCTCACTGTACTGCAGAATCATTCACGACTAATAAGAGTCTTAAGTTTGGGGGAAGCCAAGCAGAGGAAACTTGCCGGGACCTTACAGACAGAAGATG